CACTATAACCTGTAGCATCCTCTAGGTGTCAACACATTTTGACCTCACATTGAATCACTTTCTTTGTGAGGGGACAATAGTTTTGGCTAGATTGATAAACGAGAATGCTTATATTTTTTTCACAATATAGATAGATCATTAATTTTTATATAGTATATTATCTCCTTTCATTTTTACTATATTTTTATTGTTTTGAAATCTCACATTGAAGTATATATGCATTTTTAATATTGTTACATCATTTTGATCTCAATCTTTTTTTTTTGACCAAATCAGCAGGGGAGCCCCCTACCTGTATTTTTTTGCCTTTTCAATTAAATGAAAGAATAAACAGTACAGGTTGAAGATTTACAAGGCATCTAGGCCCAAAGAAGAAAGGAGAAAATTACATCATGTATAGCTATCTCTCCACAAATTAAGCAAAGTCTGTCTTGCTGGCTTGGCTTTTGTACACACATAGCCAAGTTCTTCCTTGAATCTCCTCTTCCATACATTGATATTAATATGTTCATTATAAAAAAAATAACTCCATTTCTGGTCAACCAGATGACCCAACAGGCAGTGATGAGAACTTCTCTGAAAATGCTGCTCTCAAAAAGCATCTCTAGCTTCTATCTCAATCTTAGATGTAAATGCATTAAGTATGACGTAGGTACCTGATTGCCTTCATATTTCTTAACTTTTTATCGCCTTCGATTTACAATAATGGCAAAATGGTTAATAGTGGAATATATGTGATATCTTGGTCTTTTTTTTTTTGGTCCTTTTGTTGGCCAAATCAAAGAGTTTTGTCCATTTTCATAAAGAATGTTGAAATCTGAGCATAGTTTAGTTGGTTGAGTCCTTGTGGTGAAATATGTTCATCTAGTTTCTAAGTCTTGACTTAAGGCGGCTGTGTACCATTCACGGATGGTAGAGGCTGGAACTTTGTTCCATTATCTAAAAAAAAGTCTTGACTTAACGAGGGTACTCAGTCTGAATCTTTTAGAGGTGCTCGTAGAAGTAGAGTATACGTATACGTGTTTGTAAGAGTGAGTGTTTACACGTATGAATGTACTTCCAAGTGCTGCATCCTTATTACGACGACCTTACCTCTTTCAGCAAGCATTCTGAGCTGTGTCAGTACAGTGCATTTCCTCCGCTGTCTAGCAGGCTGTTATTTATTTTAAAGCTTTTCGTTAGCGCGCGGGGCCTCTGGTGGGCTGGAGAATTGGAACCCAAGAAATGCTGCTAATCCGCGGTGCTGCTGCTTCCATCATGCTAATGCCAGATTAATTAAAGTAAACAACCATTCCGGAATATGGTCGCGTGGAGCTGGGGGAATCCGCTCCGTGCCCACATGCACGCCGGCGTGGGGCCAACACCTGAGTTGACCTGCCCCCAGCCCTCCCGGCACGTGGGCCCCAACGACCCTGGAGGCCTGGGAATCCAACCACTCCTGCTGCTGCCCCCCCCCCCCCCACACCTCCAGCTGTCACCGTCAATCCGTCTGTCTTGGCTAGTTACTGTCAGATCAGATTGCATGTTTTTTTTTCTTTTGCCTTGTTACCAGTAAGGGCCAGTTTAGATGTGATTTTTTTTTGCAAAACGACACCGTGGCAGTTTTCGTTGTTATTTGTCAATTAGTGTCTAATTAGACTTAAAAGATTCGTCTCGTAGATTTTGTCTAAACAGTGTAATTAGTTTTATTTTTTATTTATATTTAATGCTTCATGCATACGTCCAAAGATTCGATGTGACGGAGAATTTTGAAAATTTTGACAAAACGAAGTGGAACTAAACAGGGCCTAAGTAATTTTTTTTTTTATTTTTATGAGTGAATTGGAGAAGTTAGCGGCTTTATTTTGTTGTGGTCATGTAACCAGCAGTGTTTTACGGTGACACCGACGGCTACGATATATCGATCAAAGAGCAGTGGAGATAAGATAAGAAGGACGAGCCAATGAGTCATCAGTTTCTTCACCATTTGACCATGGGTTCCATAGCAATGATGGTGATTAAAAGCCGTTTTCCAGGGCGGTGTCAAATCGTAATGGCCATGTTGACGGTATGGGAATCGCATATCTCGAAGTGGACGGCATAGAACCAAAGAAATTAAGCAAGTTTAGTGAGTGGAAAGATACAATTCAAATACTGTAAGGCTCTGTTTGGTTCCCCAGAACTATGAGGAATTAGAAAATAATCTAATAATACTAGAATAGGAAGTACTTCCTTGATATTGGTTTCAACTCATGCGACCCAAACAGGCTCTAAGAGACTATTTATATTAATTAGGGCTGTAACATTTTTTAGAATTAGTAGGAGTAGCTTAATGCTCGTCCATTTGAAAGTATAAGTCGTTTTAGCATTATACATACTAAGTTATATTTTACTTTTAACTAGATTTATAGAAAAGCACAAAACAGTAGAACATCAAACAAGATTCGTTCATTGACACGCTATGAAATATATTTTGATAATGTGTTTTATTTAATATTATACTCTCTCCGTCCCTAAATAATTATCATTCTCGCTTTTTAAGAAATAACTTTGACTAATTTTATATAAAAAGTATTAGTATTTATAGTACATAATTAATATCATTAGATAGATTGTTGAATATATTTTAATAATAAATTTATTTGAAGATATAAACCATGCACATATTTTTTATAAATCTAGTCAAACTTACGGTACAGAATAAAAAACGATAATTATTTAGGACAGAGGGAGTAGATGTCAAAATTGAACAAGATCCACAAACAACTTAGTACAATTTAAAAGGAATTAGCCGTGCACAACTAAACTCAGAAATTCGTCCAATTTCCCTTCTTCGTAGAACCAACCGACCTCGTGGTCGTGGAGCTGATTCGGACGGAGAAAAAGGGAAGAGGTAGATCCTGCTGCGCTGTGGGCCCTGACGGGTGGACAGATCGGCATCACCGAGGGGGCCACATGCCGGGTGGCCCACCAACTCACGCCCGCGGGGCGGCGGTGAAAAACCATCCAATTTCTGCAGGGAAGGACGGTGACGTCAGGCATCACGCAAGGGGAGCAGAGGAGGCACACTGGCACAGGTGCCGGGCACCGGCAAAATCGGCGCAGTCCAGCTCACCCTGCGACACGTGTCGGCACCCCAGCATGCAAGGTGGCCCAGGATCCTTTCACTAGCCAGCCGTGCGTGCCTACATGCACCTCTGTTTCCTCCCCTGTTTTCAGGGGAACCTCTCGTCATCTTTTGCTCATATAAACCGTGCAATTAGCATATGTTTTTGCAGGAGTGCTTAAGTATTCATTGGATCGGTTGGTATTTAGTTTATGGGTTTAATGTAAGCTAAAAATTAGGCTAATATCTTGTAAGTTTGTGACAGGGATATTTTATACGACAGCTAGTTATATGTGATATTGAATGCAGACTCATCTCTTCCAACACAAAGAATGCGCCTTGATGGATGAAAGTTGGGAACAGATTCTTGACACATGCAAGTACTAGAATTGAGAGCTATGGAGTTCTTTGCGTCCAATGTTTGGTCTTTCATTTACCATATTGTCTTTAGTTATGAACCTATAATAAATTTAAATGATAGGTGTGTGATTGTAATAAACGTGGATTGACACTTTTCATATTAGAAGGTTGAAGCCGTATTTTTTCTATTATCTAAAAAGAAGGGCACCTTGATTTTTTTTTGTTCTAGATATTCAATTTGATTTGTTGTTTTACATGTGTTATATACGATATTTGATAGTGGCTCATACACATGAGCAGTATCTATCCACAAGTACAATCAGTTAAAAATATAAACACCCCAAATAGCAGAAACATCATCATAAATCATATCTTCCTTTAATTGTTTGCGCTTATCACGATTCCTATACTTACTAAATTTCACATTATCTCGCCATGTTGTGAAATCGAGGAAGTTCACTTTATAAAATTCATTGTAATACTTTCTCTACTATTTCAACATTCATCTTGGAAGAAAGACTATACTATTTTGTACGGTTTTGGCCTCCTTAGCTATTTTCCTCTCTCGTTTTAGTTTGAGGACATGAATTTAAGAATTTTCACTAAAAAGTGGTTCGATTCATGGAGGAGCTACAATTCTTTCTAAGATCCAAATTAAGGGTTCAATATTTTCCTTTTGGGCAAGTACTATAAAACAAAGAGAAGATACTAGATAAATTAAATAAATGCAACATCATATTTTTTTAGCTTCAGCATCCAATTAAAGTTTTACACATGAACTTGTTTTTGAAAATAAATAAATAATAGTACACATAACACATGCAGTGCTAACAAGTTGGCCTCTGCGGCTCTGCCCATGAATAGGGAATCCAAACGGAGGAAACATGGAAACAAAAATTATTGGCTCCAACCTCCAACTAGGCTCACTCGTGCTCTAAGGCCTTGTTTAGATTGTAAATTTTTGTAACCTGGACACTGTAGCACGTTTCGTTTGTATTTGACAAACTTTGTCCGATCATGGACTAACTAGGCTCAAAAGATCCATCTCGTGATTTACAACCAAACTGTGTAATTAGTTATTTTTTATCTACATTTAATACTCCATGCATACGTCCAAAAATTGATGTGATGGAAAGAGAGTAAAAAAACTTAGAATTTGGAGGTGACGTAAACAAGGCCTAACTAACTGCTATCGTAAGTTGCAGCCCCACTTCCATCTCCCTCTCTCCTCCTGCCATCACCCTAGAATAGGAGTATTTGCCTCCACTTTAATCTCTCTCTCTCTCTCTCTCTCTCTCTTCCATCCTCCTCCTCCCTCCCTCTATATATACACATCTCCACCCTGTTCCTGGGTCCTCTCTTCCACCCACTGCTACTCCAAATCTCTCCTTCCTCACATACGCGCAGCAGAGGAGCCGAGACCCAAGAAGAAGAAGGAGAAGAAGCGATAAAGCAGAAGCTTAGCTAGCGTGGAGGTGCCCAAGGCGAGAGGGACAACGACGGCCGCCGCGACAGGCTTGCCAACCAGCTGCTAGCTCCTGCGGAGCCGAAGCCGATGGCTGGCGCCGACGTCGACGTCGGGACGGAGCTCCGGCTCGGCCTGCCGGGAGGAGGCGCCGAGGCGGCCAAGGCCGCGAAGAGGGGCTTCGAGGACACCATCGACCTCAAGCTGAAGCTGCCCACCGCCGGCATGGAGGAAGCTGCCGCCGCCAAGCCGGAGCCGGCAGCCGAGAAGGCCAAGAGGCCCGCCGAGGCGCCGGCCGCTGATGCCGAGAAGCCACCTGCACCCAAGTATGTATACATCTGGAAGCATGTTGATTTATCTGCATGGGTTATAGGCTTAAATTGACTGCTAGTAGTATCAGTTACCGACTTACCGTGGATATTTAATTACCGCGAATCCGCGATGCTAACCTTTTTAAACTAATGATTAGGAACGTTATTAACCATGAAATTCCTGTGAGTGCCATATAAGGGACTATGTTTTTTTTCCCTCTTTTTTATGTATAGAATAAAAAAATAAAAAATAGCGTAATGGCATTTGGTAGAAAGCGTGTGCCTGACTTTATGTGCATGTGCTGGTTGTTGTTCTTTTTTCTCCTTGCTTCCTTTTATTTATTCAGGGTTTTGTATTTATAGTACGCCGAGTAATCTTAGCATATCAACGAGACACACTTTGAGCAGGGCAAAATATCCATAGAACAGATCCTCTGGCAGAAAGTGCATACGGAGAAACTATTGTGTATGTTCCTTGTCGCTCGCATAGCGCGGCGCGAATTATCATCACCTTTTTAAAATCAAAACACATACCAGTATGTTCATTTGATGCCTGCCTTTGTCGGTCGATGTCTGAAAAGAATGATGTACTTACTTAACCTTTTGGCAGATTCCATTAGGAAAAAGTGGCCTCGTAGGTTGTAGCTTTTTCCTCCTTTTATACTGAATAGAATGAACGGTTATGATTAATGGAATATCTTGGATATCAAGAGAACCACACTTGTACCCAAGTGATTTCTGAATAATAATGATGGTCATGATTCATGTAGCCTTAACCAAATCACAGTGTCATTATACACATTATTAGAGGAAAGCTGAGCTGGTCGCAAATATGAATACAAATTAAACATGCATGATCTGGCTGAATCGAACTCTCAATGGATCTTCCAGTTACCATAGTAAAGAATATCAATTTCAAGCTCTGGCTAGAGCAATTGTTATCCACAGAATCAAGTGATCGTTAACTAGAACTCCGTGTTGCATATCAGGGCACAAGCTGTGGGTTGGCCACCAGTCCGATCATACCGCAGGAACGTCATGACCGTCCAGTCTGTCAAGAGCAAGAAGGAAGAGGAACCTGAGAAGCAGCAATCCGCTGCCAATGCCAGCGGCAACAGCTCCGCCTTCGTGAAGGTCAGCATGGACGGCGCGCCCTACCTGCGCAAGGTGGACCTGAAGATGTACAACAGCTACAAGGACCTCTCCATTGCTCTGAAGAAGATGTTCAGCACCTTCACCACATCTGGTAAATCAACTCGTTGGCATAGGAATCTGCAGCATACAGTTTGTGAATTGATACCAATCGTCTTTACGAATTCGGCAAATGCAAAGTTGACATGAACTCATATAAGCTGCATCCATGATCCATCTTACCAGGGAACAACATGAATGAGGGGAAATTGGTTAATCCAGTCAGCGGTGCTGATGTGGTCACTACTTACGAAGACAAGGATGGCGACTGGATGCTTGTTGGCGACGTCCCATGGGAGTATGTTCTCCATTCTAGTGTGCCATCATCTGCTTTCATATTTACTGACCCATAATTAGGATGTGATCAGGCAAATGTTCAGACTTCAGTTTCTTATATGTTGCCTTGTTGATTGATGTCCCTGCAGGATGTTTGTCGAGTCATGCAAGCGTCTGAGGATCATGAAGAGTTCTGAAGCCATAGGTCTTGGTTAGTGTTTCCAGATAAAATTATCTTCCATAGTTTCATTATAAGATTTACATGTCAACTCTAACAGCCTATGTTTTCTTCATTAAAAAATACAGCACCAAGAACGAAGGACAAGTCCAAGAACACGAGCTGAAGAAGATGCAGCGTTAAAGATGCTGCCCATTGTGTCAAAAGAATGGTGCCCTTGCAGTGTGCTGCGGTTTTTTCTAGAAATATAATGCGTTTTAATTACTAGTTGGAGAGAGACCTGTCTTGTTCAATTTGTTCATGGACCAGAAGCAATAATAATCAATCTGTGTGTAGCTGGATTGGTGTTATGTGATGTCCCCTACCGTGTGTCCCAGAATCTACTTGGTGATTTTATTCCAGTGTTGTTAATCAAGCTTGTGTGATTGTTAAGTAAAGGGCATCAATGAGACTATTATTATTATGGTACCTTGTAAGTTAACCTGTTTGTTAATTGTCAATACAATATTTGGCAACCTGTACGTGGTCAAGTGGGGGGGAACAGGCCATGTGCCGGGTGATGGGGAATCCATTAGTATAACCCTACTCTATCTGTATATTTGAGTAATTGGCTGGGTCTTGAGGCATGATGGCATGATCACAGCATGAAGCTTCCTTGCTCCTGCTAGAGCTGTGGTCATACCAAAGCCAAGTACATTGCATAAACAAACTAAACCATACTTTATTCAACACACATTTATGAGTCGAAAATGTAACCGGTATATAAGATGGCATACGTGTTTTGGTCTGCACGGTATCTAAAATATGATAATATCTTGAAAACGGTATCAAATAATGGGTGTCCTTTTGGGATCACACAACAATTGAATGCAACCTTCCAATGATTATGTGGAAGTTATGTGATGAGAACAAGAGGAAGGCTATATTATCTCTTTGTGTTGTGCTTAAAGCCTTAAAGGGCATACCAACTAATGAGTCTACAAAACAGCAACTACCCCCCATAAAACAGAACAGTGGTGCCATTGGATATCACATAGCCAGAACAGGAAGAATGCACAACAATCATTTCTGGAGAAAATCCAGCACTCCCAGCGGATAATACCACATGCTATACAAAACTAGTAAAATGTAATTGGCTTACATCAAACTGGAGCTTGAGCAATGTACAACTCAGGGAGATCTAACTCCTCCAGGCAGTAGAGCTCCCCAGTATTTGCAAGTGAGCAGAAAATTGCATATAAATAATCCACATGAACATGTTAGTCCTGCGCAACCAATTACTGCAAGTGTACAATAAAAACTTGCAAGTAAACTTCATCTGTGAATATGACGTCTGGTCCCTCTCAAAGCCATATCTTCAGGATCTTAAATGGACCAAAGTGGAATAGCACAGACATGGTCAGGCTCCATGACTTTCTAGCCCTGAACAGCCAACTCCTGCAAGTGTTCAATAAACACTTGCAAACTAACATCGTCGGTGAAAATGACTTCAGATCCCTCTGAAAGCTGTGTTTTCTGTGTCACAGATGGATTCAACCGAGCGAGCAGGAACCTGGCCTGGCTACCATGCTGGTCACACTTTATGAGTTTTGGCACAGGGAAACGGTCTACAAGTAGTGCCTCCGCATCTACTTCTGGTGCTTCAAGGAGCTTCCTCAAATTTTCATGGTTTGGGTCCTTATGATAGCCAAGCTTCCTCCATTGAGCAATCTTTGAGCCATAATGAATCACGATATAGAAGTATGAATCAAATAGTAAAATGACATCAGGAGAGATCGAGCTGACATCTAACAGCACAGGAATAGGTGGTCCATCGAATGAGTACTGGAATAGAGTAGGCTGTATCATGATTAGAGACCCCACAACTCCCTCCCTATTCAGCATCAACCTGAAGAAAGCAGTTTCATCGGGAGAGCTGTTGAAAACATCAATGAACTGTGATCTCCGCAAGTAGTACATGAACTGCGGATACAAGGAGAAGTTTGTTGACAGCCGAAATGTAGATGGATCTTCAGGAACATAGTTTCCAAACTTAGCAGTAAAGCGGATAAGCATCTTGTCAAGCCATCGTATAACATCTCTAACATGGTATGTCTCTGCCCTGTAAACAGCAAGCCTGGCCATAACAGCTGCAGCAGCTTCCTGATCAAACCCTGCAGCAATTTCAGGAGATCGAGGAGCAGCCCACCTTCTTGCAACGGTCGTTACCCTTAGGCGATAACTACCATCACCATGTCGGTACCTTGTCATGAACTGAATAAAGAAGACAGTCGGGGGCTCAGCTTTATGACTGCAATCAACTCGGAAAAAGAAAGCAATGCTGGTCTTGCTGCTCAGTGAACTAGTTTTCCAATAATTTGTCCCACCTTCACCAATTTCCTTATCACTAACTGAGCTATTTTTCCTGTGGAGGGAAATGCAGGGACCAAGGGCACCACAAATCTTCACCTCCTTTGATGTCACTATTTCAACCGTCGCATTAAAGTTCATATTAAGGTAATTGGTGCCTTCACGCTTGAACATATGCCTAAAACAGCTTTTGAACTGCTCAGACTCAAATGACTCTGTATGCACCATTAACCCCCCTGACACTTCAATTGGATTCCTCAGCTCTGCAGCCCCAACCTGATCAAGAGAGCAGGCGAATAGATCAAGAACTAACGCATGGTCTGTCAACCTCTTTGCAACTTTCTTATAGAAATCACGTGCTTTGTCAGTCAGTGGTGCGTTGCTATTGAATATGTCACGATGAGAACGAATTGCTTTCCCAAGATCAGTTTCCACCACACACCCTGGACCAACTGTTGCAGGACCAGATGTAAAGACCATAATCCGACCACCGGTACTGGGTGAGCAGCAACCCTCTAGAAGAGCAATAGCAGTGGAAATCGCTGCGCCAGTTGCTCTTAAAGGACGATGCCCACGTGGACACGGAGACATGGAGTTCAGGTCCTCTATTGCAGATGTGATGTTAAATTCACATTCAGAAACAGGCAGCAAAAATCGCTGCGCTTCAATGGACCTTTGCATAGCCAACTTCTTGTACGGTGAACGGTGAACACCTAGTAGTTCTTGTATCTGAAATATAAAAGAAGGCTTATGTGATATACAGTAACCACAATAATTTCTAATACAAGCAATTGCAAAAGCATATCACCAAACTTGAAGACATTCAAAAGATGAGGGAACCAGAGTTTTATATGGCAAGTTTGGACAACAGGAACATAGCAACAGGGACTCTAAGCCAAACCCAAAGTTTTAGACAAAGGGAAAAATTCTCTGGCTACGCAGTTTTCAAGTTTCCACATTCTCTCTAGCACTATATATGGACATGAGCATTTGCGAGAGTGCTATCCTACAGTGCAGAGACATTCAAGTTATACATCCAACAACAACTACCATCTTAGAAGACCAAGAACCTACAGCTCCTATAAAAAAAGGAGTACATTGCAGGGATAAAGTGTCCAGGTCACGAAGAATTTTACAAACCAAGCTATTTCAGGTTGCTATGTACAACGTACATTTCACTATTTTAGTAGATGTAACAGCACTCAACTTAAGCAATACTATCAGAAGACAAAAATTATGTAACATAAGATCAAAGATGGCATTGCCCCTGCATTTATTGATTGGAAACAGAGTACTTGCTGTATTTGACCAGTTGCCACTGGTAGTGGGGTAGTGGCAAATGTGAGAGTGATTAGATGGGTCATGCTAATAGTGGCAGAAAGTTAATACATGCCCCAGAACTAGCATTACAACAAGCTACTTACATTCAAATTTCAAACCATCATTACAGGCATGAGAGATCAGCCAGAGGAGTTTTTAAATGTGATGAGTAGTAGCAGGCTGGCTGCGGCAGGAACAGATTATGCATACTCAGCGAAACTAGAATGCTGATCATGTCACATAGATTGGCGCAGAACCAAATTACAAATTCAGTGTCCTAAGGATCACATTACAAATTCACAAACCTTGTCAGACTCGAGCTCACGCTCGCCATTGAGCACAACCACCCGAGCGCAACCCTCAAATCCAAGATCGTGCACCCACACGGACGCAGCAAAAGTGACGAGCGCCACCCTGATCCCCTCGGGCAGCCCCTGCACGACCCTGCGCACCTCGTCCTTGAGCACGGCGAGCTCCTCGGCAGCCGTGGCCGCGTCGATCACGAACACGAGCGCCGGTGGCCCCGGCCCCCCGGCCTCGGCGGGGTCCGGGGGCAGCGCGTACTCGACGCTGGAGTGGGTGGGGAAGAGCTCGGCGGGGAGCGCGTCGGGGGCCAGGAGGCGCGGGAACGGGTTGGCGGCGGCGCCGCAGAAGGGGCAGGACCAGCGCGCGGAGCCGTGGTGCACGCGCGAGAACGGGTTGAGCGCGGCGCCGCACCCCGGGGAGGCGCAGTGGAGCGGCGCGTAGGGGAGCAGCGGGAGGAGGTCGGGCGCCGTGGGGTGCTGCAGCGGCGAGCAGAGCACGGCGGTGGGCACGACGAGGGACGCGGCGGCGGGTGCCGTCGGCGGCCACGAGTGCCACGGCCACCGGAGGCCCTCCACGGCCTCCAGCTCCGCGAAGTCCATCGGAATCGGAGCCCGATCGGGGAGGTGGGCGCCGCGGTGGAGTAGCGACTAGGGTTTGCCTTCGTCTTCCAGTGTGCAGCCTTTTTTTTCGCCTTGGGTTCCTTTCTTCCTCGGGAGAATTTTGAGAGAATTCACAGTGAGCCATTAAAATAGATTATAATTATCTGTGAGCCACTGAAAAAGTTAATTGATTTTTAGTGTTACTGCTCTAATTTTTTTTTTTTGCCCTTCATACCACTACCGTTAGATTTGGCTCTAACGATATCAAACTATAGGTGTGAAAAGTCAAAAATACCTTAAGTCTAAATATGTCATTAATTTTTTAAGCATCTTAACGACTTCAAATGAAAAAATCCAAACCTTGAAAGTTTAGAAAGTTGTAGATCTCGTCGAGATCTATAATTTTCATATAAAAATTATATTCATTTAATTCCGCAAAAAATATATGATTTAATATGATTAATATATCTTAGAAAAATCATATCTTTTTTACGGTATTAAATGAAGATAATTTTTATATGAAAATTATAGATCTCGACGAGATCTACAACTTTCTAGTTTTGAGTTTTTTCATTTGAAGTCGATAAGATGCTCAAAAAAATTAATGACATATTTAGACTTAAGGGTATTTTTGACTTTTTACGCCTGTAATTTGACACCATTAGAGCCCAAACTGACGATAGTGTCATGGAGGGCAAAAAAATAGTTAGAACAGTGATGCTGAAGACCGCTGAACTTTTTTAGAGGATCACATAGAATTACGATTTTTTTATGACTCACGAGGAATTCCCCCTGTAATTTTTTTTGCTCGGAATGCTTCCCTTCCTTTCTGCTACTGTGCTACAACCTTCGCCAAATGGTGTGCGTTGGATCGTCTTTGAAAAGCTGATCTTGAGACGGAGACGGAGTTTTGCATTGTCAGGTTGAGCTGGTACTGGCCCAATATGGAGGTGGATGGAATACGGGCCAGGCCCAATTGCGAGGAATATGCTTGGGCCAATCAGGCTGAATACACTTGGTAGTAGGGTGAGGAGCCTCCCAGTTTTTTCAACCCAAACGGAGCTTCTTTTCATCTGTGATATACCAGGAGTCATCCTTCAGACGATGATGCCCGGCAAGTCGGCAACAACGCAAGAAAGACTGTATTTCTCGTAGAGTCAGCCGGTATCTCCTTTCCTACTGTTAAAAAGAACAAAAGTGTGAATATTTTTTAGTACGACATTTACTTTGGTTCGTTCATCTGTCAACGCCTGCGATCCCATGATATCTCCCACATACTACGTCCTTTATGCGATTCTCCTTGATTGAATATTGCCTGTCATGTGATAGAGGAATCACAGCAAAATAGGAAGTAGAAAATTATTGTGCTATCCATATACACATTGCATGTTTGCATGCACCAGTATACATGGCAACGAGCAAAAGAAAAGAGAATTAACACAGAAGAAAAGAGAATTAAGACAAAAAGAACATCTTTGCATTTCTGAAAATCTTGTCAAATCTACCTACATTTAATTACTTTCACTCTTTGCATTTGTAAAAGGGACAACTTTTTTCTTCTTTCATTTGTTTTCACGCTCACGTGTTCTATCGCCCTCGCTTGCTGTTTCTTGCTGAAATTGCCCTTGGGTCTGTTCATTTTGAATCCTTTCCCCATATTCTAATTAAACTATAAAATTTTGAATTAGGTTATGAGGTAAGACATGCAAACAGATATTTCAAAACTACATGTAGAGTCCAAAAAACTTAATAAATAAATTCTTCTGAAGGCAATACAAATTCTCTCTAATCTTTCATTTGGTGTAGTTAGTGTTATCATAGTACCCGCATGTATTCATGTGAAATAAATCGTGGACAAAACGTGGACACTTTTTGGTGCGACATTTTAACATAGGTCCATCGTCCTACCAATATTCTCGAGGCAGATCACATAAAAGGATGAGAGTCCCTCTATGAGATTGCTCACAAGAGACTCAAACTTATATCTGATCATGGTAATATTGAATTGCTTTGCATCAAAAGCATCGACAATGATAAATTAGGATATAGGTTTTAGTATGCATAGTGGAGGAAAACTCAACCTTGGCCTTCTCAGCAGCTTTTCTAAGCCTTCATAGTGCTAACTTGTCCTTACTCAGATAGTCAAGAGGTACACCATAAAATTATGCACCACTAAGAAAAGTGTCACCATTGGTTGCCTTGACCTGAAAAATGTGTCGAAATTAAGAATTACAACACCTAATTCAACATCTTGGAATAGACACTCAAGTGGATACCTTATTCTACAATACATGTCTATGTGGAATAGTCCTAAAGCCACACATATTTATACGGTGAGTATAACATACTTTGTTTTAAAATTTTATGAGAGATTTTTTAAGACACGCAGTATTATCCATGTGACATGCACTAATATTTACATATATACTCGAACCTGTGTGTATAAAATTATATGGAGATGCAGCAGAACTTATTCATGGATTTATTGACGCATGAAAGAAATGGATATCGGAGAATTCTTTCTGGCGATATAAAATATTATCTTAGCCATATCACGAAAACGTTTATACAATAGAGTTTGTGAGCCTGCGACGCCGTGCTCTCCGTGACTGTGTTAATTTCACGAACTTTGTTTTTTGAATTAAATGTCACTTTAACGTCGGTGTTTAATTTAACAGTATTGTTATCTTATCGTGCGATCCGTGTGTTTTTAGTATAAAAGATTTAGTTGTCCTGTAGCAACGCACGAGCACGCTAACTAGTTAAAAGAAAAAAGAAAAAAATCTTCCTAGGTTGTCTTTACACACAAGACACCATTAATTTTTCTTTCACCAGGTCCATTGATCCTTGTTTTCGTCACTGAAAATGAAGCAAAAAAAATTGCGTCACAGCAGCACCATCTTCTTCTTCCTCCATGCACCCACCATCCTGCCGTGCTGGATCGTACCGGCCGGCGGCAGCGTTGCAGCCTCTCTCTCTCTCTCGCGTCAGCGCGTGTTTAGTTTGAAGCCAAAATTCCAAAATCCCAAACAGTGCTACGGTACCTGTCACATTGAATGTTTGCGGCCCATACATGGAGCATTAAATATAGACGAAAAAAAAACTAATTGCACAGTTTGGTGGGAAATTGCGAGACGAACGTTTTGAGCCTAATTAATCCATGTTTGAACACTATTTGTCAAAAAAAACGAATGTGCTACAGTAGCCCCAAATTCCAATTTCCTACAACCAAACACAGCCTCAGTTTTCCGCGTGTTTTCGGCGTGTTCAGTGGGCAGTGGGCAATGGTCGTGGGCAGTGCCGTCCGTTTTCCGCGTGTTTCTATTACCCTTGTTTAGTTCGTGAAATTTGGATTTTGGGGTTACTGTAGCACCTTCGTTTTTATTTAGCAAATAGTGTTCAAACATGGACTAATTAGGCTCAAAACGTTCGTCTCGTAATTTCCCACCAAACTGTGCAATTAGTTTTTCTTTTCGTCTACATTTAATGCTCCATGCACGGACCGCAAACATTCGATGTGACAGGTACTGTAGCAACTTTTTAGAAATTGAGGTGGAACTAAACAAGGCTCTTATTATAATCACATACTCCAGTCATCACCTCAGCCTCCACGAGTCAACGTGCTGCTCCAGTACCCACCTGCTCTGGTCCGCTACATTCCGTGTAGTGTCTGTCTCGTGGCGGCTGCGCGCGTGCCGCAGTCTGCTGAGCCGAATGTCAACGCCCGCTTGTTTCGGTTTCCGAGGCGCCGCACAAGACGCCCACTCCTGAGAGCCCCGGGGCTGCTCTGCAATTTCTAGACTACCCAGGTGGTACATGAGATGGATATGTACTCCTTTGGAAAATCACGTATTCACGCACGTCGATCTATAACGAAACGTGACAAGTGAGATCATCCGTACGTATGACGTAGACGTGCACCTGCGGCACACCCGGCCCACCAGTTACCACCACACTCGCATGCACACACGGTAAATTGCTGTAGGTTCGTTTCTGATATGGGTACTTTATATTAACTTGATTAATTAATGTGGTGTACGGTTTCCCGCTCGGATTCGTTACTCTTTATTATTGGTTTTATATATACTACTATATACTGTATATGTATGTTTGCGTGTGAAACTACGGACGATTCCTGTTTCCCTTTCCAAATATACCAAGTACTGTAAGTATCTAGCTTTTGTCTGTGGAATCTATGCGCAGAGGTGTTGCTCTCAGAAAGCTCGAGCAGACGTACGTCCACTGGTACTCCTATACTACCAGCTAGCTGTATCTGGCTTTGTTCCCGTCACCGGATCTTCGTAAGTTTTTTCACTCTTTCTTCATCACATCAAATCTTTAACACATATATGAAATATTAAATGTAAATAAAAAAATAACTAATTACACAGTTTGATTGTAAATTACAAGACGAATCATCTTTTGAGCCTAGTTAGACCATGATTGGACAATAATTGTCAAATACAAACGAAAGTGCTACAGTGCTAAATATAGATTCCTAACCGCAATCTAAACAAGATCCCAGTAACATCCACCATCTGCCTAGTGCCACCACCTATGGAACCTGTCCTGTCTTACCTCGGCCTTCAAAGACCAAGGGCTGTGCTGCCATTGCAGCAGCAGCCAAGGAACATATAGACCTTGGTTAGTCGGTGAAATTTTTTAAGAAATGGTACTATAGCACTTTCGTTGTTATTTGTTAGTTAGTGTCAATCATAGTCTAATTAGGCTTAAAAGATTCGTCTCGTGAATTTCGTCTAAACTGTGTAATTAGTTTTATTTTTTATTTATATTTAATGCTTCATGCATGCGTCTAAAGATTCGATGTGACGGGGAATCTTGAAAAATTTTGCAAAATTTTAGGAACTAAACAGTCACATATTCTACTCCAGCACAATAAGCTTGCAGCCGTAATTTACCACTTGAAAAAGGACTTGAGGACAGGATTATACAGTCTTCTGATGAAAAGACCAAGGGCGCGACCGCAGCCAGGTAACGGGTTCGGTTCGGTCAAATCGCATCGTATCGGATCCGGCGTGCATAGCTAAAGAACGGTAATAATCCAACTACTTTACCGGACACCTCAACCCTGATGCACCAGCTGTGCCTGAACAACGTTGGCTGTTGACGGCGACGCCGTCGCATGAGCCACCCATCGTGCATGCTCGCGTATTTTCAGAGAAGGGAAGGAAGGAGACTGAGACTGCGACTGCGCAAAGCCAGGATAAAATTTTAAATTTGATCAATTTTAGCTAAGCTGACTGAGGAAAAATGATGCCAAGTTAAAATATGGCATCTAACTAAACGCTGACTATTAAAATAAAACTAGTTATAAAATCTGGCTAGCCTAGTGTGTACACTAAACCAGACACATCCCAAACACGATGATATCAGAAAGATTTGAGTACCATCCACACGCAAACTAGGATGGACTGGTAGCGCGATGTATCTACCTGCCCGCCTGTCTGTCTGCGGATTCACGGATAGAGCCGTTGCATCCCCTATCCGATCGACACGTAGGTCATGTTCGTTTATCTTATAATTTATACTTTTAGCTTGTCTTTTTAGCTGGAACAGTATTTTTTCTTATAACAAATCAATTGGAACAATATTTTAGCTTATTTTTTGAGCAAAGCCCACGGTGCCGTACTATAGCCTGAAGCCGCGCCGGCGCGCGGGCAAGCACCTAGCGCTCGCGGGCGATGTCTCTCCAGGAGCTCGCGGGCGACGTAGTGCCTGCTGGTGGTGACCGCGGCTGCTGCTGCTGCCTGCTGGCGGTGGTCCGGCGCCGCGCGCGTACTGGCTACTACGAGAAAAAGAAAGATGCCCCGGGGTGGCGTGCGTGCGGCGCGCGCCTGCGGCCGGCCCGCCGCTCGCTCCTGCTCGGCGAGAAAGGCGTGGACCAACCAACCGCGTCTCGGCTTCGGCCGCGTGGGGATCCCATTCGGTTCCGGAGCAGGCCCCACGGGCGATCCGCGTCACCGTCGTCGCGACTGGACAGCGCAAAACGCAGCTCGCCGTCTCGTCTCGTGCCCTCTCCGACCCGTGGACCGGTGGCTAACGCAACTCACGCGAACCTATCATCGCCACTGTTTTTGTAGTATGTTCGACGGAACTTACATGAGATTATGGCAACCCCCGTAGTCACGTACCGTAGTGAATTCTTTTATATGCCTGTTTGCATGGCAGATGACGTGTACAGTGTAGCCATCACTCAGGAGTCAGGAGTGGTCATAGTATTTGCAACCAAGGTGGATGGCTACAATCTCTGTGGCGGAGTTATAAAGTTAAAAACATTCCCTTTCATCAAATTTAGGGGATCAAATCAGTTATAATAGCATTTGGAAGTAATACAGGCCCTCGTATTATAAAATAAAATAACATTAGGGGTCTCACTGAAAAACATCCCCGTCAATCAATTCATAAAATCATTGATTATATACAACACAAGAGCTTCATTTAAGCTCCGCCAGCATAATTACGATTCCTTTCATCCCGCACCGTTAAGAGACTGATTGCTCTTGCTCGTGCTCGTATTCGTAGATCCACCCATCGAACGAACACACGAACCCTACGACAAGAGAGCAGCCACGCTTCTCTCTCCTTTCCTCTCCTCTGCGGCTCTGCGCTCCTCTGAAACTCTCCTACTTTTCTCTCTTTCCCGTCGTCGCCATGTATTACTCCTCGTCGCGAAATTTCTGTCGTAAATAAAGGGGTCATCATCCGTCCACCGTCCACGTGGGCGGCGGTTGCGGCCACGGCGGCGGCGGCGGGCGCCGGAGATGTGAGAGCCCCCGTGCCGTTGGAGATGGCTGCGGCGGGGGCGGCGGGCACCACCGGGGCCGGCGAGGGGAAGAAGCGGGGCGCGTCGCGGAGCTGGATCCTGCTCGACGCGGCCGGGGAGGAGCGGGTGCTGGACGCCGATAAGTACGCCATCATGCACCGCGTCGACATCAACGCGCGCGACCTCCGCATCCTCGACCCGCTGCTCTCCTACCCCTCCACCATCCTAGGGCGCGAGCGTGCCATCGTCCTCAATCTCGAGGTGCGCCCCCCTGGTCCCGTCCCGTCCCGTCCGCCTCGCCAATTCAGTTGTGTCGTTTTTCGTTCGGTGGATGGATGGTGCGGGAGGAATCATGGAACAGCGTATGCGGGCGGGGTTTCCTGTGATTTCTCAATTTCGCGTTCCCTTTGCGGATTTTCGGGTGCTAATTGTGTTGTTTGTGGCTACATATGGTGCTGCGAACAGAGTGTTAGAACCAAATTGTAGTTACGATGAACTGATCCCCTAGTCGCGGCTGGTTTTTCTTTATGATCCTAACGATTATGTTGGATCGTGCTGTTCTGCTTTTTCATAGTAAATGGTGCCGAGTACTTGATGCAGCTGCTTCATCTGAAAAGAAAAGTAAAGGGGATTTCTAACGAGTTTCCTTTTTTTTTCTTTTTTGATGGAATCTTCGTCGGTGGCTCGAGCAGCACATAAAGGCAATCATCACTTCCGACGAGGTGAATTTTACTGCTTAGTATTTCCTCCTCCTGATTGTTTAGCTGCTAGGAGCTTTCAAGTCGTTTCCTCCCATAATCTAGAGTAATCACAGATCTCTGCAGGTTATATATATGCAACTTCACATATGCAAACCTGGATTAGTTATCCATATAAAATTTTGAAGAGAAAGTGATATATATATTTTTTCCGAATAGATAGCTTCATTCTGCCCACAAATCCTCGATTTTAGATAGGAGCTCGCTATACTAGTTCTCAGGTCATGCTGCTATAAAATAATCAGAAAGCCATAGTTTATTTGATTGAATTTAGGATCTTAAATGTTCCATTCTTAGATGTCGCAAATGTGGTTACTCACAACTGTTGTATTTGGATTGGCTCAGGTTTTGCTTAGGGATCCTTCTGATGAGAATGTAATCCCTGTAGTAGAGGAGCTCCGGAGGCGGTTAGCTCCATCAAATGCCACTCAGCATGATGGAAAAGAGAACTTAAATGGACAGCATGATGTGGAAGGGGCAGAAGAAGATGGTAAGTTGGGCTTTGCTATTTTGTATCAACTGCTTATGATAGGAGGACACTAATATTTTTGTGTAATGTTGATGTGGTTACTTTGTTTGACATTTGTCCCTCTTGTATGGCCAAGAATTGGAACAAACAAGCAAGGAAATCTTTGTAGATACATAAAAGTATACAGGAAAGAAATGGACATAAAGTTTTGATTGAGATATGGTCACACCATTTTGTTTCTTTCTTTCTTTTTAATCTCTATGTCCTTATCATGGGACGTTCTTTTGGGAGAAATATGTTATATTAGTCCAAAGTATGTACCCATGGCACTTAACTTTGATATCTGATGCCCTATCTGTGTCTCCTTGCACTTGTCCAATAATGTTGTATGAGTCTGCAAACATTCATTTAACTTCCCCTAGGAACTTTGGATAAATGAACATAACTTGAGATATTCAAACTATGATTTGGTTGTGACATGTGTGTGCCTGTCCTCGCATGCATGTCCATCCCTTTTCTTTTCTCTAACAAAGATAATAATTATGTAGCCAGAGCACAGCAACATATTTCTAAGTGTTGTACCAAATCAATACTTGATATATAAATGAACCTCTGTGATTCATTTCGGTAAACTGTTCCTGGATTTTTTTTACTTTTCTATTGTGTGAAACAAACTATAATTGACATGCCATTTGTAGCCAGATCCCCTTGTGTCAATTGACTTGCAAACAATATATCTGTGTGGTTCATGCTAGATTGAAGTATATCAAAGCCCTCGCTATTGTTTCACATGTATTTATTCTTTTTATTTGTCTTGGTGGATTCTCATGATAGCTATACACAATTCATTAACACCTGCTATCTGATTTCATGAACTCCACAGAATCTCCTTTTGAGTTCCGTGCATTGGAGGTTACTCTGGAAGCAATCTGCAGTTTCCTTGATGCACGCACTACTGAGCTTGAGACCGATGCTTACCCAGCTCTGGATGAGTTGACATCCAAGGTGAGTGCACATGCTCTTATACTGTGTTCCATTAGTATGCACTTGATTTGAACATCCTAGCGTGTTTTAATAAAGTTTGAGCATCCTAGAAACATGATATGAGTTATTTTAAATAACATTCAAAAGACATGCTAATTGCATGATGCAGAAATGTGCTACTTTACTCTTGTTTCATAAGTGAAATTTAAATATATATATTTAGATATTGGATAAAGTAATCTTGCGCAATCGCATTTTAGTCACTTGTGTGTAGGGGACTAGGTAGAGTTATCATTATTCAGTAGGAACTGCTACACAGAATTACAATGAAAGATTGCAACAACATTTACCTTTATTTTTTATGTACCAAAAAAGTCAAAGCGACTTATAATTTGGAACAGAGGGAGTAGCAATCAAATTTACATGCTGGTTTGCAAGTAAGGCTAAAAATATACTAACAATGTTACTTTTGTCGGCATGCTAGTCTGAAAACATGGGCTAGTATACGTCATGATTGTGGAACACAGTTTTCAGTTAAGTCTAACAGATAATCTGCTGTATGATTAAGCTTCATTCAGTTCCAACATAATATTAGCTATGTTGCATGGAGGCCCTAGAATAAACTAAACTTGCATTGGTAAGTAGTATTGGCAAAGCCTGCAAATCTAGATCCTTGCCAACAATGTATGTTTCCAACTTTCCATAGAGCCATGAAGGCATGTCAGGCTAAGATCTTTCTAATTCCTTGTTGCATCATCTTCATACATTCTATGTACCAATTTCTCCGTATTAAGCCGAGCTGTTGTGGGCATCGCAGATCAGCAGCCGCAACTTGGATAGGGTACGAAAGTTGAAAAGCGGCATGACAAGATTGACCGCAAGGGTTCAGAAGGTCTGGTTCCGGTTTGTCATACCTCATTTGGTTTGCTACCTGATACTTTTCTGTACAGTTTCTTTGGGGGGTATTTTTCTTTAGAATGTGATCATTTGTTTTGTTCACTGTGTTCTGAATGTCATGTTGCAATGTCAATTCTCCTGCTTTGTGCAAGCTTAGTTCTGATCATGAGCCATGCCACTGTAAGAGGCTGGATAGTTGTGACAGAAAGTGCTTTCTCTTTTTGGCCTTGTGGGATTGACATGCTTACAATCGACTTCAGGGGGCATGAATTTTTTCCTAGTAGGTTCAATTTATTCATTTCAATAACAGAAGTTAACATGTAGATGTTGTTAGTTAGTTATCATGAAAGTGACTTGCTAAAGTTTAGCTTTAAAATTGTAGCTATCTAAACTTTAGCTAGCTAGAAGTTCTCCCAGCTGAATTTTAGCTGGGGTGTTTGGATCCTCCAGCTAATAGACTCAGCTAAACTTTAGCTGAGTTTAGCTAGGTTGAAGGAGCTAAACTCAGCTAAACTTTAGCTGGGCTGTTTGTATCCCTAGCAGCTAGATTTAGCCAGCTAAAGTTTAGTTGGTGGATCCAAACAGGCCCGGTTTTGTACTATATTGTTTGCCTTACAATGCTTAATGGGATTGAATCTTTTAGTTTCCTGAAAAATATATTCTTGAAAACTGAACCAACAGAAATTGGTTGAGCCCTCTGAATAAGATGTTCACAATGTTTGTGTATGACGTATGCCTTCTATTGATGTGTTAGGTATATTTTTATCTGTACTGCCATTTGAGGTGCACTTTTCATTTATACCACCAGTCCGTGTCAATGATGTGTAGAACCAGACCCCACATGTAATTGACTATCTTGATAGTATAAATGAAAATTGCCTCCCAAATGATGGCATGAATAAAAATTCCCCTTAGTGTTTATTTTATTTCATGACATTAGTATTCTTGGTGGGTAGTGATAGACTAGTAGCACTGTTTCTCTTCGTGGTTTATCAATCACAAAATGTTCTCTATTTGCCAGGTGAGAGATGAGCTTGAACAATTATTGGATGATGACGATGACATGGCTGATCTTTACTTGTCTAGAAAGTTGGCTGGGGCATCTTCCCCCGTCAGTGGTTCTGGTGGACCAAATTGGTTCCCTGCATCCCCAACTATTGGTTCAAAAATATCAAGAGCAAGCAGAGCCAGTGCAGCTACTGTGCATGGAAATGAGAATGACGTTGAAGAGCTAGAGATGTTGCTAGAGGTTTGTATTTTGTTCCTTACCTGACAGACATAACTTATCAGTTGTCATTATCTTGGTTGAGTACTTAAAGTAATTATAATCTGCAGGCATATTTCATGCAAATTGATGGCACATTAAACAAATTGACAACGGTAAGTTGGTGCAACTGATTTTAAGTTTTACAGCATCACAATAGACTAGCAAAGCCTGCCCTTATGCTGCTGTTCACATGGGTATTGTTTAAATTCTAATGCTGTAAGAGAACTTTTAGGATTTAGCTCTGTGTTGACGTTGTATTTGTTTGCAACACCTTTTCAGCTGAGAGAGTACATCGATGACACAGAAGATTACATCAATATCCAGGTAATGTTGCCTATTATAGATGCATACTGCATTTATGTTTCGACCATTCAGTTTCTAAATACATTTTGTTTTTTCTTCTTTTGCCGTGCAGCTTGATAACCACCGTAATCAGTTGATTCAGGTATAATTTGCAATAAACTGGACCTCATCATGTTACTCTTTGCTAGAGATGTAGAAATTTCAGAATTACAGATTGATTTTAGACAGGTGTCACTTTTAGTAGTTTGATGTGTAATCACTTGGTGTTGAATGTGCATTCCATATCATATCACCCAAGCAAAGTCCTGAGTAATACTTGTTGCATTTTCGCACTCTTTTAGAATAACATATTTTTCGTTTGGTCCCTGCAGCTAGAGTTATTCTTGAGTTCTGGGACCGTCTGCCTGTCGCTGTACTCGTTAGTTGCTGGAGTCTTTGGTATGAATATTCCGTATACCTGGAATGACGGCCATGGATACATCTTCAAATGGGTAAGTTTCTACTCGCAATACGGCACATATAATGATGCGTTGCTTGGTGTAACTTGTTCCTCCCGTGACAGGTGGTTCTTGTATCAGGGCTTTTTTGTGCCTTTATGTTTGTCTCCATTGTTGCGTATGCGAGACACAAGGGTCTCGTCGGATCCTGAATAGCTGAAATAACCGCAACTTGCTTCCCTCGACTGTAAATTTGAGCCAGTGAGCATCGACTTTGCGGGGTGATTCATCTCTTGTACCAAATTGGGTAGTAACAAATTGGGGGTGTTGAATAGGAACTATAATAGAAAGTTAATGCAAAAGAAATATGATTGCCCCCGGTTTCATAATGTTTTCATGGTGTTATTAGCTAGGTACCTCTTTCTGAATTGATTTTCCTAACTATGCACAAGTGCCTGCAATATCTTTTTTTTTTTTTGAAAATTTGCCTGCGTTATCTTTGAATTTTCGTTTAGCTACGTGCTGGCGGAGCTCACTTAGAGCATCTCCAACAGCCTTTCTAAAATTTACTTTAAATCATAATTTGAAGAGTCATTTGATTAAAAATCATTTTCTATATATTTATATTCTCCAACAACTTTTCTATATCTTGTGCGCAGTCTAAAGAGTCATTCTCGTTCTTCATCTTTGGCTAGCGAGAAATCCGGAATAGAGGATATCTATATTTGGATATCCAATTAAATAGGTTGTTGGAGAGTTTTTTTTTTCCACCAAAATCTCTATTTCTATAAATTAGAGAAAATATAAAAAATCTCTTGGAGATGCTCTAATTGCATTTTATATGCACTTGTGCATTTTTACCGCTCCTTCTGGATGCTCTATATTTCGTAATGCCGAAGCTCCATTTTCCATGTGGAATCTAAATCCCTGCTCGTTACAAATTTCGAATTAGTGGTAGCAGGCCTCTGGTTTTCATGTAATGCCAATACCAACCAACATACTATAGATTACAGAGTAGGTGCGAATTACATGCGTGAAGGGCAAACACGAGCTGATATACGGCCCAAGGTCCAGAGACCAGAGTGGAAGAAAGCCCATCCGATGTACTTCTACTTCAAGAGCCTTTATTTATCCCCTCATTGAGATTTGCACCCAAACGGAGAGCTAAGCGAGATTGTATTTGCCAATTTGGCAAGAAAATACGGATGAGCTTCTCCTTGGACAGCAAATGGAGAGCGGATGAGCTTCTCCTTTGACAGCAAGTGGAGAGCTAAACGAGATTGAATTTGGCAAGAATACGGACGAGCTTCTCCTTGGACAGCGGCTGCAAACACATAGGTACAGACGTTATCAGGAAATGATCACCGAGTCCTCTGTTTTTTTCCTTTTCTTTTTATTTTTTGAAAAATGTACTCAGTGTGACAGTGTCCCCTCTACAAGAGTGAAACTGAGTAGTGTCAGTGTGACCTTGGGCGTGAAGTCGTCGGCCCCGGCCTTGATGAACGCGTCGACGTCTGACGGGAAGGTGTCGCTGGACAGCCCGACGATCGGCGTCGTCACGCCCATGGCCCTAATCCGCCGAGTCGCCTGCGCGCACGCACGCCGGCGCCGGCGGGGGCAGAGCGAGTCAGCCCGGTGCACCAGTTAAATGCCAAAGCGCACGAGTTGCACTTAGCGGATCATCGATCGATGTGAGCAAGTGAATTGTGGCTGTGGGTTAGCGCGCGCCGGCACGCACCTCGTGTCCGTCCATGACGGGCATCTTCCCGTCGGTGATGATGAGGTCGTAGGCGCCGGCGCTGGCGCCACCATCCCGCACGCGCCGCACTGCCTCGGCGCCGGTCCCCGCCTCGTCCAGCTCCACGCCGCCGACGGCCGACCTCAGCAGCGCCCTCGCCAGAACCTGCAGCTAGCAGGCGTTGCAGGCAGGCCCGGCTAGTGACCATCGAACATAAAACATCAAGTTTGCCCGTGGACGCGCACTGCGCACACGTACGTACCTTGTGGATCTCCTCGTCCTCGACAAGGAGAACCCTGATCACCTTGCGCTCCGCCGCCGCGCTGGCCATTGCACGACGCTCGACGCCCTGACGAAACCAGACCTCAACCAATCAAGCGCGATGCGGTGGCAGTTAGGCCGGCCGGCAAACGGCAGCAGCAGGCGTTTAAGTAGCCGGGACAAGAAACATTGCACGGAGAGTCTCATGGCTGCCGCCTCTACGCAATCTACCGGCGCCCGGCTCGTTTCGGCAAGGCCGCGAAGGTTCCATGTGCCCATGACCTGATTCAGTTCGTCGTCGCGCTGTGCGTGTGGCTCCCAGGACTCAGAGGCGTACACGAGCGAGGACACGGTACATGCCCGATCCATCAATGGACGCGATGCGAGCTGGGCGTTCCAAACCACACGCGACATGGCGTGGTTACTGCGATCGGCAAGCGCTACCGCTTTGAGGGGGGCAGTGGCGATCCAAGCCGCGGGTCACCGGCCTCGGCTGTTTGCCCGGACAAATGCTAAATCTGGCGGTACCTGGATGCGCGAATGATTGGGCGGCCTGCCTGCTCCGCGTCTGCATTGGCCGATGGCCGCTAGGCGCTAGCAACGGCAAGTGGCCTGCCTAACCCCCTACGGCGCCCGAGATCTTTCGGGGGATCGTGTGTGTGTCGTCAGTGCGTTGATCCGACGGCGGCGGCGAGGCAAGAGGGGGCTGCGGCGTTACGATCGGCGACAGCCGCAGATGCGTGAGTGCCCAGCGTAGGAATCACCGAATCGGCGGCGTCTCTGTTTGCTATGTGTCGCGTACTCGCACCACGCGTCAGACTACAACAGGCCCCCTGCTGGGGATCGTGTGTGTGTCGTCAGTGCGCTAGCTGGGGATTACCACGGCACCACCTACCACATCCGTATACTGCTACAGTAGTATTTATCAATAGTACCAGTAATAACATGTCAGACAAAATACATTTACCTGCCATATTTACTCGATCAGGCGGCTTCACACAAAAATTGTTACACTTGGCATTGTGAGCCGAGGCCGGCCTTACCCTATCTTGAGGCCTTGAGAGAGCTCAGACTACTGGCTCTGTTGGGTGGTCGCAGAATACGGGGCTCTCACGCGTTCGTTCGTTTTGTTCGGCTGGTATTTTTGTTACTGGCTGGTTGGGCTGGTAGCACTGTTGATCAGCCAACAGGGGTCGATCAGCCAGCTTCAGCAGAGGAACCAGCCGGGCCATATAATGCTGATGTTGTTCAACTGAGTCGATGCTCACATCAAATTGTGGGCAGCTCGGCGTCTCAGGCAGGGATTGACACTCGAGTCAAAATTATTATACAAAGGATACCAAAACAATTTCATGAATCTATAACGATTGGGTTCGGCAACGAAGCGTCACCATCCACTGCAGTAAGCTGCCATAAGAACAATGGCACCCCAGAGCAATCACAAAAACAAGTTTAAAAGCTGGTAATTCATGACAACATAAAATTCAAATCAATTACAGTGGACCTTCACTCGGTTTCTAGTTAAGTATAAAAACTTTGGTGGCCAAGTTATAGACAAAAAAAACACTTGTAAGTATCACCAAAAGCACCAATGCTTTTCACTGTGCTTATAAGAGAAATGACACCTTCATCATTTGTTTTTTATCTTCATCTTTTTACCAGAGATTGCATCTCAAATTACAGTTCATTCCAAGAACACATTATAACCGTGCATAACAACCACCTCGTGCTTACAAGGCATCTCAAATTACAATTGTTTCGCCCATATCACTAGTACTTGGGGATTAGTGGAGACTTTACAAAACTAGTAGCAGTTCCACCATACATGCGAAACAACTACAAAAACACAGCCATACAAATCTGCTGGTGTACTCCACATACAACAATGTATTCGGGTGCATGTACCTACAGTAGCATACAATCCTACTATTTGCAATTGCTACCATTCCTCTACAATTGCCAAATGACCTAAGTGGCATATGTGCAAAATTTATACCCTTTTCAAGGCACATACGAATGAGCATGAAGGCAGCTCCCATGCAAAAGTCACTTACCCATCCATATTTGGGTCTTCAAGCCATCCTCCAATCCACTTACACCTCTCCTCCACCTCACGGCCTCGCCTACAAAAAAGACAACACAGTCAAAACTTGCATCCAAACATACAAGGGACAGCTATCTTCAATTCAACTACTTTGCATCCTAACTCAAATCACCTTTGCTGAATCAATCTCCCCATAGAGCCACAGATATGTACTCCCTCATTGCTATCATAGTATTACTTGCATTGAGCTGCACCCAGGCAGACGGTGGGTAGGTAGGCGATCCAAATCCATGCTCCCAAATGAACAAATAATTGTGCAGTGCAAAGCATGACATAATAATAATCTTTTGCTTGACCCTATGGCAGTAAGGTACCCCATGCAGAATGTGCCACTGGCCTTTCAGAACCCCAAATGTCCATTCGATGACATTGCGTAGCCTCGAATGCGTCAAGTTAAATTTCTCCTATCGGGACATACTCTCAACAGGTACACCCCTAAAAACATCCAGATGCTATCTTGTATTTTTTAAAGGACCCATATATCTAGACTCCAGTGCGTATCTAGCGTCCACCAGATAGTAGCGGTCTACATCACATGAATCCATTGAAGAATGGTGCATATGTGCCAAGTTGCCATTTCACTCCAGCATAACTGCAATCAGCTGGAACAAGAACATAGTGTGCCCACCTACACATAACCTCGATGACATGACTCATCTTCCTACTAACTGTATCCAAAGACCGTTCGAATCTATCCCTGCTCCTTCTAGTTGCCTGGTTGTGCGCACAAGTCTACACATATACACCTAAACATTCTAGGGATCCTGTCTGTCGTGTACCCTTCAGACCAAACCCAAGTAAAATGTTATGCAAATACAGCAAGTTATCAGGAGACATACGCAAGTTGTCCAAGCACTTCCATTCGTTTCGCAGATTGACTTCCATCCACTGTCGTCCGGTCATCTTCTAGAAGGGGAGGTCCGGGTTCACCATAGGAGCCTCATTGGCTACTATTGCTTTGTACTTTGCAAGCAGGACAGAAGCAGCCACCAAGTTCAAAATGGGCGGTCCTTCGCTTGAGTTGTTGCTGTTAGCGAAATCCTCAGTGCTGCTCATCTGCAAAACCAAGATTTAGTCCTAAATTATGAGGCAGTGAATATTACAGCAACTTGAAACTAGAAAGCTCAGGTTACAACACAATTTTTACTTTCCAGCTATATTATATGTCCAATCTGATACATTATCACTTCACATGTTGAACACTTGTAGGTTCTTCAGTAATCAGTAACTTTGTTTTTAATCACTTAGTCCAACTCAATGAAAAAGAAATACTTGAATTGTCTACATAAGTTATTTGATTAGTGAACCCGAGACCAAGTCCCAGTACAATGCTTTTAATTAGCAGCATGGGAACATTGCTGCCTGCAGCACCATACACTGAGGCAGCGATGATTTGTAATTGTAGATGAACCTACAAGATCAATTAAGTGCAAGTTAGGAAGCGAGGAACATATGCTGCATATGTGTAAACAAATGTAGAGAAGGATTCGTACCTGGGGACTCCGTGATGGCTACAACAGCTATTTCGTCCTGAACATGAAAAACCAAAATATCTGTTGGACAAAGCAATTTACAACACAGAAACAATTTATTTGGGTACTTGGAAAAAAACCAGCACACAATGTTCAGGCCACAGGCCGTATTACAACGATGGAACTTCAACAAATGTTCTCAGCGACACAATACAACTCAACATAAACGTAGTAGGAAGTGAAACAACATAGACTGTCGCAGTAGGAGGGCTTGTTCAGATAACATCTACTTGGATCTGGTCCTCCTATCCTCCCAGCACATCTGCACAAAGTTGATGCGGCCTTGTTTTATTTCAATGCTGAGGAAGTTCCTAAGGTGCAGTGTGTTCGTGCAAATAATTAAAGTCTGAGCATAAATAGCATCAGACTCTTCCAAATCATCTTCTTTCATAAACTTCACCACTTTGTCCATCTCCTCTTCCTGCTTGCTCGTACGGGCCTTCTGGAGCTTATTGTCTTTAATGATGTCTGTCAGGTCGTTAAGGCGCTCATCAATGGAAGCACTCTTCTTACCGTCGGGCTGTTGACAGAGAAATCCCTAGTGGATCTCTTGGAGGACTGACCAACACTCTGGACACCTACGGGGTCCGGTGATATCTCGTGTGGACTACCATGGCTGGCATTACTGGGTGTCGTCTCGCGATGATGGCCACTAGAAGACAGCAACGAACCCCTGTCGCGGGGAGTGTGTACCCATAGAGTTATCAGTTGGTCAAGGCATTTGGGCATTTTGGTACGTTCCGCAGTAGATTGGCTATTTTCCTGCATGGGTGCCATGGATCCAAGGGTTAGAATAAATAGAATGGGAACATCCCTAGCACTAGTTAGTGGGGAGGGGGTTAGAAAGGAATTAGGTGAAAGTTAGTACCCCGTTGCCACCCTCAAAGAATGAGAGGTCAACTGTGACGCCTCCTGTAGTCGGGTCTTGACCTAAGCCAGTGTGGGTTTGTAGGTCACGCCAAAGAAAATATGACCGCTTCATTTCGTTGAACTTGTTCTGCAGCTGTTTCTTGTCATACGGCAACCCTGTTGCCTTTGCGAATGCTGGATACACATTTGCCCAGCCCACGATTGTGAGGCCTCACTGGTTACAGTGCAATAGGTTTTTCTATTCTATCACTAGTTCTAGAAAGGTCCTCATGGTGACGTCATCCCAATTAGCACGATCCGTGGACATCTGTTACCATGTTTAAAATGTAGGGTATGATGGACGTTGTATAGACACAAAAAACAACAGCTCTTAGCGTGACAAATAAGATAATTAGGGCGAAAGAAATGCGGACGTGCCTTGGTAGAACGCTTGGCGCATTTCAAACGAAGGTTGTAGTGCCTGCCTTCAGGTGAAGAGCACGATGAAGTGGAGGACGCTGCTAGTGTGGGTAGCGTTGAGAAGCACTTGCGAGCGGTGCACTGAAAGAAACAAACAAAAAAACA